TGTCAGCCATTATTTTTGACTCGACAACTTTTTTAGCTTCCCGCTATGAAAATCAATGATTTTTTTTAGAAAATGGGAAAGTAATTGTTTTTAATCCGGTTTTTAAAAATCAAGTTCTCATCAGATCTTGACGTTTCGAGGTCTTGGGGAACTATTCTGGCAATTTTGCGATGATTTCCGTATGTATGTATGTTTGTTTGTGTGTGTTAGTGTGTATGTATGTATGTATATAAACATGTAAACATCTTACAACTTGGTAACGGAGTATCCAATCGAAAAGCGGGTTGAACTTAGATTTGCTGTGAATTTAAACCGAATCGTCACAGTTGATTCCGAGAAAACCTCAAAAATTCGAGTATTTTTAATTTCCAAAAAGTAGTTTTTTTTGGAATTACTTTGACGTCCTCGTTTTGACCAATTCTATAATCCAATCAGCTCATAATCAGGAAACTACATCGGCTGCCTTAAATTACATCAAAATCGGTTGATTTTTTCGAGAAATATTCAATTTTGAAAAGAAAACTTGGTTTTGCAATATTATGACGTTTTTGAGCTCTTCGAGTTTGATGTTATGTGGAATTTGGCGCGCTTTGATATTGAAATTAGCAAGAAGTTCCAGGGATTGCCTGTAGGGTCAAACAATTTTTAAATAAAATTTAGGACGAAGTCGAAATAAACGACAATTATTTGGGTAGTCTAAATTTTGAGAAGATCTCTCTTTTTATTTGAGGCATAATTCAAGAAAAGAGCTTATTCCTTTTTAAAAGGCCGGTGACGTACCTGCGATTTCCCTGGTGTTCAACCGCATTGTTCATAGGCGGCGGTAGTCACTTACCATCAGGTGAGCCGCATGCTCGTTTGCCTTTTCTTCTATAAAAAAAATGATTTATTTACTTTATTGGTTTTGGATACCCTTTGTAAAGACAAATATTGATAATATGAAATAGATTTATTTTCAGCACGTCCTTCTGTCTGCTTCAATTTATCATTTTATATTAAGAGCTTATTTCGATGCATACTACTAATATATCGTCTCAATTGATATTACCATAAAGCATAAAATTTACATAGTTTTGTAATATCATTAAGAAGTACTCCGCTAGCGTCACCGGCAGACGCGTTTACAATGTCTTTAAATTTTTGAGGCGTAATTCCGTCAATGCTGCCAGCAAAGCCCTTCGAAAATGACATTTAAAGTGTATTTTAAAAAAGTTTGTAAATGTTGAATAGAAATATTGGGAGGCAGTAGCAAATTCCGAGATGGATTGATCGAAGAATGTTTCTGACGAAGGCTGTTCACGAGCCAGGATGTCATCTGAGAATAAAATACGGATGCATTTTTTTAGTTGTCAGCCATTATTTTTGACTCGACAACTTTTTTAGCTTCCCGCTATGAAAATCAATGATTTTTTTTAGAAAATGGGAAAGTAATTGTTTTTAATCCGGTTTTTAAAAATCAAGTTCTCATCAGATCTTGACGTTTCGAGGTCTTGGGGAACTATTCTGGCAATTTTGCGATGATTTCCGTATGTATGTATGTTTGTTTGTGTGTGTTAGTGTGTATGTATGTATGCATATAAACACGTAAACATCTTAAAACTTGGTAACGGAGTATCCAATCGAAAAGCGGGTTGAACTTAGATTTGCTGTGAATTTAAACCGAATCGTCACAGTTGATTCCGAGAAAACCTCAAAAATTCGAGTATTTTTAATTTCCAAAAAGTAGTTTTTTTTGGAATTACTTTGACGTCCTCGTTTTGACCAATTCTATAATCCAATCAGCTCATAATCAGGAAACTACATCGGCTGCCTTAAATTACATCAAAATCGGTTGATTTTTTCGAGAAATATTCAATTTTGAAAAGAAAACTTGGTTTTGCAATATTATGACGTTTTTGAGCTCTTCGAGTTTGATGTTATGTGGAATTTGGCGCGCTTTGATATTGAAATTAGCAAGAAGTTCCAGGGATTGCCTGTAGGGTCAAACAATTTTTAAATAAAATTTAGGACGAAGTCGAAATAAACGACAATTATTTGGGTAGTCTAAATTTTGAGAAAATCTCTCTTTTTATTTGAGGCATAATTCAAGAAAAGAGCTTATTCCTTTTTAAAAGGCCGGCGACGCACCTGCGATTTCCCTGGTGTTCAACCGCATTGTTCATGGGCGGCGGTAGTCACTTACCATCAGGTGAGCCGCATGCTCGTTTGCCTTTTCTTCTATAAAAAAAATGATTTATTTACTTTGGTTTTGGATACCATTTGTAAAGACAAATATTGATAATATGACATAGATTTATTTTCAGCACGTCCTTCTGTCTGCTTCAATTTATCATTTTATATTAAGAGCTTATTTCGATGCATACTACTAATATATCGTCTCAATAGAGTACATTCCATAAAAATAAGAAGATTATTGATACATAATGTTTTTCAAACATAGACGGGGCCGTACTGAAAGCGTTTGTTTGGCATGGCCACCTTTGAAAGCATTTTACTCCAAAAATACCGACTTACCTTGAAAATGAAAGCGCTACAAATACGCCAACAGGCGATTACAACGAATTAGTGCACATCCTAAAAGTAGATTCAGGGTGGCCGAGCCAGGCAAACGTAATTAACAGAATTAGGTTTTTTATAAAAATGAACGTACAGTTCATCTGTCGGCAACTTAGGCTACTGTAGCCCATGGAAACTTACAGCCAACTTCAAACGAAGAAAGCTAAAGCAGTGTGTGCCACCTCCTAGGACTAAGAATGCCTCATAGCCTGTCACTATACTGGTTCTCTATCACAGACCGAATCACAGTAGTGTAAGCCCTGCTATTTGACGACAAAAATAAGTAAGAGGGTGATACCTACCCAGACGAACTCCTACACAGAAACAGTGTCATACCACCTAGATTTGTATGAATTCAAAACTAAGTATTCATTTTATAAGGATATAAATTATTAATTGAAATTTCTGATTGCGAGAAAATTGAGATTGTTATACTTTATAGATTTGAATTGTTCAAGTATTGGAAAAGAAATTCAATTTTCACTGTAGCACTGAGAGTTAAGAGAGAAATTATTAGAATTGTATTTAATATAATAAAACGGTTAAAGCTCTGTAATATTATTGAAGATAAAATTTATTCTGTATGCAAATTGTCCATTCCAAAAGCGTCAGTGTTTCATCACAAATTATTCGTTTTTTTTTTGTAGACTGATGATAGTAATCGTTTTATTTAATTACTTGTCAAAGAAGGCACGAAAATATCTGTCAATGAGTCAAGCTGAGGATATGACTTTATGTAGAAAAATATATAATTTTGTTATAAATTTCTTTTTCTTTATAAAACTTCTTTTATTTTACACCATGTGGTATTAGTTGGTGCGAGTCCAGCATAAACCGTCCTTGCCACTGCAAGGCGGGTATGCATAAGCATTATACCATATCAAAAATGAGAAAAAAGTAATAAGTTCGGCTCAGAGGGAGGGAGAGGGTAGCTGCGATGAGAGGCCAGAGCGGCAGCATAATGTTTGTAGTGTGCGCAAACATTGCTGTCGGCATTCGTATCGTACTAAGTGGCGTTGAGACGTCGTAGTAAGCGGCTTACCTTTGTGACACCTGTGTGGCCATGATTATAGCAGGGTGACGACGCAGCACTTGGACAACACCCGACTGGCTTATTTCTTTCCCTATGAAACTTGATGCATTTTATATAAGTACTCAAGAGCGATATTGCCGTAAGTGTCTTAAGAGATGACTATAGTATATTGCACAAACATTTGATGACTGCTAACTAATATAATCACCTCGTCGATTATCGTTACCGTTATCGTTACAGCCTATACTCACTCTCTGCCTATCATGGATATGTTTCTTCGATCCTACGTTACGGTTTAATAATATGGGGTAATTCTGTTGATTTAATTAGAGCTTTTCGTGGACAGAAAAAATGTGTACGGTCTTTATGCGGAGTTCACCAATTAGATAGTTGCATTCCCCTTTTTTCGCAAATATAAAATATTGCCGCTTCCAGCATTATACGTTTACGAAATCTGTATCTTTGTTCACAAAAATAGTAATTTATTTGAAAAACACAATGATGTTGTAATTAGGACTAGTAGAAATATACATAAATTGTGTGTACCAAAGCAAAGAATACAACTCTACTCGAAAAAATGTATATTGTATGGCAATACATGTTTACAACAAATTGCCTGTTTGTTTCAAAAAGATGAATATAGGAATCTTTAAAAGTAAATTGTTTCAATTTCTTTTAAATAAGTGTTATTACTCAGTAAATGACTTCTTAAATGATAAATTTGACTCAAATTGTATTTATTGAATTGCTGAATTTAAATTTTTTGAAATGTTTTAACTAAAGTATTATGAATTGATTGATGATTGTTTTATATAGATTTGGTTTCCATAAATATTGCGGCAAGTATCTTTATACTATATAATAATTAGTGTCTTAGTTTTCTAGTTTATTCGAAAAAAATTATCTATCTGAAAATATTTGTACGCCGGAAACGGCAGAATATTTAGGATCAACATTCTTTTGTAACAACTGTAATGTACTATATTCTGATAAATAAAGCATCTTATCTTATCTTATCTTATCTTATATGAGTCCGGTGCTGAACATAGGCCATAGAATGCCCCTATTGGAGATATTTGACGTAGTTAGCAAGCGGGTTGAAAAAAAACAACATTGTGGGTGCAAAGATTCGTTTGTTCGTATGACCGAACCTTGAAATGATGCCGGGTTTGGGCGTCTCCCGTTAATTGGCGCCCATAAAATCGATGATGGCACAAAGAGGAACGCGCATAGGACCACTGCCTGAGGGTCACCGGGGCGAGGCTGGAGCTGGCGGTTGACGTGGCAGCATGCGAGCCGCCAGCCAAGTGCGAGGAGCTGCACATCATCTAGCAGCGCCCCGCATCCATCATCGTCACAGAAGTCTTCTCGGACTCAGCAAGCGGCACTCGCTGCTGGTGCAGCACGTTGCATGCGTTGGACAAAAACTATGAACGAAAACGCATTACGGGCGTACTATAAGGCGAAAGGGGAAGAAACTGCGGGGATAGCATATAGGGCTTGGATGCATTGCTTTTTTGCTGAGCTGGAGCCGTCTATTCCCGTCACGGAACTAAACCCGGCAAACCGAGTTCGGTACATCATGCGCTCGAAAATATTTGATGATGACGAACTTGAACGACAACGACGAGCGGCTATTCCTTCATCAGATGAATCGGCTATGGCTGGGGACACGGCTTCTCAGGTGACAGACCAGCATCCACACGTGGAAGCCGCCATGGATCTTCCAGATGTGGTTAATTCTGATGATAATGAAATAGTTTCCCACGAACTAGAGCAAATTAGGAACATATTGCAAGAGGCGATTTTGGAAACGCGCACTATGCCTCTCGAAAATCGACCGCGACTTCCTCGCATACCCCTAAGCAAGCAAAATCGGGCTATCATGAGGGCTCTTAACCCAATGCTGGTGACCTATTTGGAAGCCAGCCGGGACCTTAGAGAGACGGACTCAATTATTTTTGGCGCCGCAGTGGCAGTTTGCCGTATCATTGGCGCCAAACTTCCCATGGCTGGACGCGCTACTAGACGAAGCAGCGCCATCCCAGTCTGGAGAAAAAAATTGCGGACCGTATCCCAAAGGCAAGGGCCCTTATCGGAAGACTGACAAGATTCAGATCGGGTAATAATAGACCGAGGATTGTGCGCACCGTTAGAATGGCGTTTGCTGGGGAAAATATCAGTTTGTCCCAGCTAACGCAGCAAAGATATCGCGCAGAAAATAACGGAACGCATAGATGACCTGAAGCAAAAAATCGCTGCTTGGGAGAAGCGGATTCGAAGATTTACCGAGAGGTCAAGGCGGTTCAACCAGAATCGTCTCTTCCAGAGTGATCAGAAGAGGCTCCATAAATCATTGGAGCGACCAGAAGTATAGGCCAGGCCGACACCATCACATTCTGGCATGGCCTGTTGTCAGAGCCCGTAAATCACAGCGAGGGCCCTTGGATGAAAGTTGTGGCGAGCCAGGGCGCAGGCTTATCAACCGTGTCAGATATCTAACGCACTGCTTTTTCGGTATGTTAGACGAGGTGCTCGCTCAAAAATAGGAGAAAGACATCAATCTAATCAAGGTAAATTAGAAACATCTCGCTCTTCTATGGAAAAATCAAACATCCGTAGTTGAAGCTGAATACAACCTTTTGAGTCGAATTGAAAAGTCTATAAACAATCATCACAAGGTCTTCAATTGCTATATCATAGAGCTAGAAAAAAAGCAAACATCATAGAAAAAGAAATTCAGACCGAAGAAATCATTAATGAATTTATCCAATATATATGATAACAAACAACATTTTGGCCAATCAAAAAAAAAGTTCAAGAAACGTTGGTGGAGATCATCACAGACATCCACCATGGGCAGTTTGATATTTATTTATTAACGCCTGAACAAATTAGTGAATTTTTAGTCTGCTGTAATCAAATCACTATAAGAATAATATGCGAGCATCATGTTACAGTGAAACAACTTAGCAAGGCCGGTATTATCATTTTCAAGGACGGATGTTCCATTAAAAGTGCAACATTGACAATATTTTCACACAGAAAGCAGGTCACAAATTATAATATCAAGCCCGACTTTAGACATACCTTCAATCAATGATATCATTAACCTATTAATTCCTCTCCAGTGGTTAGAGAAGTTCGACCAGTTAGAAAATGAGGCGAATCGAAATTAGTTGTCAAGTATTGGACACCGAAAATAGCAACTGAAAACAAAGTGACGCTGACACAGAGTTGGCAGATCAGTTACCAAACTACGATCTACATCAATATGTGGTTATTTACCTTCTACTTGGAGCAGCTATACTAGCATCAGCATTATATGCTTTGTGGAACCTACGTTGCAGATGCACCGCACTTATACAAGCGCCCTCTCAAAGCAAAAGATTAGTTAGCATGAATGTACAGTTCACTAGTACGAGCCCTAACACATAGCAAGCTGCATCAGTTGAGCCCTGCGGTATCACCATTACCTCATCGGGTAAACTGAGTGCACGCGCACTGGATAAGTCTAAGTCTACTACAGTTTGCAAACGTTTTAGTGATCTTAGTGCAGTGTAGTGAAGCGTGAAATTTATAAGTATTTTAATTGAAATTTATAAGCAAATTTTTGTTTTATCATCATCATTGTCTATTTGTATCATTTTGTAATCACCTATTAATTATCATCTATTCTCCCTCTCACCCCGCAGCATGTACAGTCTTGACAAACCGCACATTTCTGCACATCAGAATTTTTACCTTATTGTATCATTTTTCATTCTCATCAATTCAGTACGCAATCATTCGCCGTCGCACACTGTACTCGCTATCAATAATATCAGAATAATTTACATAATCAGTTGAAATCTTTATCATTTCTATCAACTTCTTAGGTTGTACAACACAGCAGCTCGTACAGAAATTTTGATTTTGTAGGTGTGAATTGACATGTTAGTGGCAGTATTCTATGGTGCAGGCAATGGACACCAGAATCCAATTTCAAACTAAAAGATGGCAACTCATTCACTTAGCAACCGTGAGGACTACGCTTAAATTTCTTACTGTCTGCAATTAAACCGCCTATCTTACCCTTTAAAGCGAAACACATGAGTAGGTGTATTTTGCTGGATGATATTAATCAAGACAGACTCCTAGGCAGGATACAAGTTCTACCCTTAGCCATAATATTGATAGAAAAAATAATGAAATTTTTTTGCTTCTTTATTTTTGAATATCAATAAATTTCGTTCAATATTAAAAGTAACATGACCTAATAAAAGTAACAAAGACTTTAGTCTTTGTACTTTTATTTTATTAGCATTTTTATTTTGTTGTGTTAAAACACAAATGCTAACCACGATATTAAGTGAAATCTTAAAATCTCTGGAAATATAAAAAACTTTTGTTTGGTGTAATGGTATGATAATTTAGTTGTCCATTGTGTATCTCCGGGCTCGGTCTGGGTTCTGATCCCAATGGAAATATAAATTATTAAAGGTTCACAAAGTATTTCTAAAAATCTTTTCATATTGGCATTGTGTGCAAGGCATTTATTTTGTATAAAAATGTTACTTATTTATTAGTTTATAGTTTTTAAATAATTTATAAATGGCAACGTCAACATCTTAGCACTAGTTGAGTTTATTTTTAAATGATAAAGTTCACTTTTGACACTTAAATTATTTTTATAGAACGAAAAGTAAGGGTTACAAACGAGCTCGCAGTAAAAAGTCATATAGCTACCTACATCCATTTTCGATTAATAATCAAAATTCATTCACGCTGTTTCTCCAGAGAAATGAGACGTTATGAATCGTTTCCAGTAAAAGGGTTTTCGATTTACAACATATAAAAATTATGCTCTTATTTCACGCTACTATTCTGTGCATGAGTTGTCCCGGTGTGGAGCTGTTTATCCAGGTTAAAACATTTTCTGCACTTCGAATTTGTAAGCATTAGTATATTTACTATTATATTTAAAAGCACTTAGTTCTTTTCATCATATCCATATATTCTTATCTTTAAAAAATATGTCGTTACGTGAAGTTACCGCTTATATATCCACTTCTCACGGCTGGACAACGGCCTACTCTTATATCTGAGAGGGTTGTAGAGTAATTAGCCCACCGCGCTGCCCTAATTGCATGTTGGCAAAATTCACATGTCCATGAATTGTTTTATTTCTCATGCATTCAGGTTTGTCCGCTATATTTTCATTTACCGCCTAGCATATGTAAAAATGTATTTTGCAGGCATTCCTGTATTTTTCTATATCAGCCTGAGAAGAGCACCCCGAATAGTCGACGACGAAGTTCTTTTTATCGTATCGTCCCTGCAGCTGCTCTAGAGTACTTATTACAGCGAGTGCTCAGAGACTTTTTTATATCATTCATACCATTTAGAAGATTTTCGGTCCACCACTGTGTTAATTACTAGGAGTTCTCTTTATCACACGACTTCTTTGTGAAATCGGCTACTACCGGCGATTTTTCGGACAACCGATCTGACTAACGGACCTTCAATAAATGAGCTTACTCCTATTTAAAGCCGGTAACATACCTGCCATTCCCCCGGTGTTGCAGTTGTTAATGTATGGCGGAAGTTGAGATAAATAAACCGTATGCTTGCTTGCCCCCTCTTCTATAATAAAAGCCTCTTCTATAAGTTACTGCTGGAAAACATGAAATATTTCAAATAGTAAAGTTAATACAACGCTAGGAACGAATCAAACCCAGACCGTCGCACTGATAATGCGATGTATACTTTGGGTACATGACGTTGAAATTGGAAAAAAATTGATAGGATTAAAAGCAATACCATTCATCTTTACTAAAATACAAAAAAATATAAATTTATTTGCACCAAAATTGTTTTCACTCAGCTTTAATTCACCAATTAAAGTTAACAGTTCGCAACGTTGTATGTAACGCCGCCGGCGGGGATTGTGAAGCAAATGGCAAAAAAGAGCAACAAATTTATTATATGAAAATAACAAGAAAATAATCTTATTTATTTCAATAACACACAATTTACACAGTGTAACGAACCAGGAATAACAAAAAAAAATAGAACAATTACATCCCGAAAAAATAGCGTATGCTGGGTGTGTTTGTAATATTTATTTTGGTTAATTTGCCATCTGTCAAACACTACAAACTTTTTTTTTTTTAATTTTTCTTGACAACCGGATAACAGCGTTAACGAAGCATGGTATCTGATATCTAGAATGGGAGCTTGTTATCTATAGTATGAAAGAAACTTATTTTTAATAGTCAAGGCAAGTTTCAAAAAAGGAAACACAATATATGATATGTTCAAATGTCCATTTCCAATTTTAGGCAATATACACAAACCTTAAGAATTAGTAAATTCCTTTAATTTTATTTATTATTCCTTTTTTTAAAAGAAAAAAGTATATACTTTTGAACTGACTATACTTAGACAGTAAATAACGATAACCATCAGTTATTATAAACTATAATATATATTACAGGCTTTATATTTCAATCTATCACGAGCAAGTTAGTTCGCATGATTACATTTTTTTAATTTCTATTAAACAGCTAAGTAATGTTCGGGTCCTAGGCTTAACTGCATACACGTTTGGATAATGAAGATCCGTCCCTCATGAGCCAACCATCACTTTTTGGGACGAAACGTTTTTGCTAAAGAGGGATTAGTACACCCTCTTTGAGCTCGATTTTCCTGAGATGCTTTATCATTGGGGTTTTCTACGAACATGAGGTTAACTTGTAATCTTAGCTTTATTCGGTCGTTGTACCATCTTAATACCGCTCAGCTTAATAATGAAGCATTAGTATAACATTGTTTCCCATTTTTCTATGTTTATATTGAATAAAATAAATCATATTTAAACAATAATTACGCATAAAAATATTTATTGTATTATTTAATCTCTGATAAACACTATATTTCATTATATGTTCTGGTCAAGAATGCTCTTCAGTTTATACTAATGCCGATATTTAAAAATTAAACATAGTTACAATTTTTTTTCATTCTTGTTTCAATTTAATATATCTTTTATGAAAATACACATATATTTCCCAAGTTGTGTAATTTAGACACTCTTTTAAGTCAAAATATGGAATACTGTGAAAA